TCTAAATGTAAAACATAAAACTATAAAACTTTTAGAAGATACATAGGAGAAAATTTTCATGATCTAGGGTTAGTCAAAGAATTCTTAAACGTGACAAACCATAAAATAAATAAAACTGATAAAATTGAAATTTGTCAAAATTAAAAACTGTTGTTCTGTGAAAGATACTGATAAGAGAATAAAAAGACAAGCTACGAACTGGGAGGAAATATTTGCATATCCAACAAAAAATTGTATGCTAAAGTATATACAAAGTTCTCAAAGCTAAATTGTAAAAAAACAAACCCACTTAAAAATATCAAAAGATGGGCCCTTCACCAAAGAGGATGTATAGATGGCAAATAAGCACAAGCAGAAGCATTGTGCTCTATGCAGCCATCTTGTAACCACGAAGAAGTGTCCTGAAGACAAAGCCAACATGCACACAACAGGACAGAACTGAGATAATCAAAATGAAAGCTCTGATTAAATTGTGCCTAAAATCCAGACTTCTAGACTTTTCAATTACATGAGCCAATGTCTCGTGCTTGACTTGTGTTTTCTGTTATTTGTCACTTAAAACATTTTTATGTCTATCATACTTATTATCGAAATCAACATTCAGCATCTTGACTTGAATCTCTCAACCACCTTCACACTGGCCTCTTCACTAACCTGCTTCTGTCTCTTCCCATTCTAAGGATCACCAGAGAAATCATCCTGAAACATAAATTGAACCTCCATGATTGGGTCCCTGTCAACCTCTTCAGGTTCATCCTCCATTTGCCATCTTACTCTAGCCTGTACATCAGCCCAATTCAAGGGCTTATAGTTCCACCCACACATCAGGCTGCTTGAACTTTCTACTTTTGCTTATGCTGTTCCTTTTGCTTGGAATGTTCTCTTCTAACACATCTTTCTGCCTTCCCTTTCCTGGTGAATATCTTTAAATATTCAATTCAGATGTTGCTAGTTCCTAGAAGTCTCTTTTGCTCCTTAGACTGGGTTCGGTCTCCTTCCTTTGTGCTTCCACAGCACCTCATACTTATTTATAACATAGTACAGCAGGTCCTTGAATAACGATTTTTTTTCAATATCATTTTGTTATAATGGTGATGAGATGTTGTAGAAACTTAACTTTTGTTTATATCAATTAGCATACGGGAAATCATTTTTCTTATACATTGTTTTGCTTAAAGCTGCAGAACCTATTGACAATGATGTGAGGATTTACTGTATTTATCCCTGTGTGATGTACTTGGGTTTCCATGTCTGTGTATGAAACCACATGTTCCTTGAGGATCAAGCCCTCTAATGGCATACACAGGGTCTGAAACAAAAGAGGCTTTGATAAACCACTGTAGAACCAAACCAGTGCTAATGAACTCTCATGGATGATACTCTGGCACCTTCCAGCAACTTTGTGTCACAGATTTAGTTCTATCTCCTCCCTACAGGAGTGTAAAGATCACACCTATTGACTCGGTCATCTATGTCCTTCAAAAACTTTCCTCATGTAGTCAACTTAATTTCCTGATCCAATTTGAAATATTCTCTCCAATTCCTTTAAAGGCTTATTTTCTCTAGTCTGTATAAGATTATAGACTTTGTTGGACAAATATTAACTGAGGAAATGAAAAAAGATTCACTGATCACCTGAGTGCCAGACAATAAATTCTTTAAAGACAGGAGCTACTATAATCCCTCCTAACAAATTTATGAAGTAGGAATTATATATCTTCATTTTACAGATGATGAAACCAAATCAAGGAAATATGAAGTAGCCAGCTCAAGATCACATAGATGGCAGAGCTGGAATTTAATCACCAGTCTTCTCAACTCCCAAGCATGTCCTCTTTTCACCACAGTCCATTGTCTCCAGGTTGGGCCAGGTTCTGGAAAGCCTTGAAACCCAGAGGGTATAATAAAGCAGTGGGAAGCCATGGATATTCTTAAGCATGAGGAAATGATGAAAATAGGACGTTGGGGAAATAATCCTGAAAGGTTGCGTATGATGGAATGGAATGAAATACAAGGGAGGTTTGCTGGACTCCTGATGAGGAGGATATAAAATGGGTATTGTCTCTCTTACCACATTCATTGGTGAGTGCCGGTATTATGTTGTGGTCCTCTGGGGAAAGAGAGGGACTGGAAACGGGAGCTATTTTGAACATTAAAAAGCTGAAAAGGGGATAGAGGAGAGCAACTTCTGTCTCTGGGGTTGTATGATTGGTCAACTCCATGGTTCTGCCTCCTGGAAATGGCCTGGGATTTCTACCTTTTGTGAGATGTATAAGTTCAGAAAAAGGTCAAATTTGACTGGAGAGTTGGGTGAAAGCTTCCTTAAGGAAGTGGTATTCAATGGGACATTAGAAGATGAGATGGTGCCTTCCATATCTCTCCTTCAGTAACTTCCTCACTGGTCTCCCTGGATCCATCTCTCTCCCTCTTAATCTACTCCTATGACTGGCAAAGGGATCTTCTTTAAAAGCAAATTGATGGGGGAAAAATTAAAATCATTTCTTCAATAAAATTTTTTTTTTTTTAAAAAGCAAATTGAATCATGCTATTTTCTGCTTAAAACCCTTTAATGGTTCTTTGACATTGGATACAGTTGTTTGATGAACATCAAAATTACATATCCTCCATTATCTGAGATTTTAAAATAAATATTATGCCTATAAACTAATCAATTTTGATCATATACCTTCTCAAACTAAACATTCTCTCTTAGAAATTCTACATATGTTCCCTCAGGTGAAAGTCATAGCTGCAGTTTACTAAATTGCTTGTCCTCCATATGCATACGCCCCCCCCCCCCAACTTTTTAAATTCATGTTATTACCATGGCTTGAATACTCTTCCCACTGTTCTCTGCCTAATAATCATTTTTCATCCTCTAGCATAGGAATCATCTGACAGGAAGCCTTACCTGAACTCCCTGCTTCCCAGGGACAGATTCCCTGACCAAGTATCCCATGCTCATCTCTATCAGCACTGTCTCATATGGTGCTCTTCCCCTTCACTCAGCTTACTGGAGGGCAAGTGACATTTCAGTCATCTTGGTGTGAACAGGGTCCTGATAGAAAGGGAGGGGCCTGTGTACTTGAGACAGGGAACAGCACATGAGCAAGTAGAAATGGGGATCTCTACTCAGGACAGGTCAGGGTTAGAGGATTCTGCCTGGGAATCAATAGCATCCAGAACATCTAGGGGTGACAATCCTTCTAGAGGGCTTCATAGTGAGATAATTCCATCTGGCAAATGTAGAAACTGAGATGCAGACAAGTCATCTCCCCCAAATTAGTTAGTTATTGGTTAGTAATTAGGGCTCTTAGTGATAAGCCCTGTACACTTTTCCGTTCTATATGGGAAAGGGGGGAGACTGAAGTTGGGTGCCCTTGTTTTCCTTCCAATGTTTAGACAGGAGACTGATCTGCTGGCACCTCCTGCCTGGATGAGTAAGGTGACCAAGATTCTACCTTATACTCTGAGACTGGTAACAGTGATTTTGGTTCCTCACTGGGGAGGGTGGGGTGAGTTGGTGACAAAGGGAACCCAGCCCACCATTCCTGCAAGGGCTCTGAAATCTCTCCTCTCTTTCCTGTTGCTCTTCTACCAAAAGACACAGTTCCCCATGCTTGAGACAAGAACCTTCTCTCTCTAAATCCTAATATCAAGATTCAAATTAGGAGAACTGGAGGTCATTTAGCCAGTAGGCACCAAACCCAGACAGCATTATCCCAGACCCACAAAAGCAGATTCTCCAAAAGAAGTCCTGATTGGGTTCAAACTCCTTTTACAGTGACCCTCAGACAGTAAGCAGCCCTGACCTGGGTCAGAAAGAGTTAGGGTGGTGGTGAATTTGGAACTCAGGCTCCCAACATCACCCTGAGAGCTCTCCTCAGGATTCAACTCTTAATGCCATATCTTGCAAAAAAACAGGTGTTCAATAAACATCTGTTGGGTCATTAGTTATAAAAGATTTTCTAACATGGTGAGGGGAAAGAACATGAGTTTTGGAGTCAGGCAGATCCTGCTTTAGGAGACCACTGACAAGCTTCTGTCTCCTTCACTGTAAAATAGACCATTAACTACCTCCCAGAGTTCTCAATGAGGATTAAATGAGATATCCCATATAAAATCTCTAGCTCAATGCCTGGCACAGAAAAGGTACTCAATAGATAGTAATGGTTAATAGTGAGAGGTGGTAGAACAGAGATAAGGACACATGCTGAAATGAGGCTCACTCCACAACTTATGATGTGTGATGCTGAAAGGGTTTTTTTCCGTTTCCTCAGCAGGATGAGGATGCTGATGATGAAATGAATCAATATACATACAACACTAAGTGCAGTGTCTGGCACAAGGAAATGAACGTGATATGTTAAGTCTAATACTTATATTCTATCCCTTGCACTAGCCCTAAGCACAGTAATCAAGTTTGGCCTCGAGGAGC